TCGCTATGCATTCCATGTGTGAACACATTTTGCAGAGTGACTTTGAGGCTCCGCTCCATCCCCTGATTCTGCCTTGGCCTTGGAACTGTCTTTGGCTAAGAAAATGTCGTGGTTCCAGCCTAAATAATGATGGTCTAGTTTGCTAGAGGAGGAGACCTCTGGAGCAGAGCAACTTGCAAAGTCCCTGGCTGAACTGCACTATGTTCAGAGACGAGATTGAGCCAACTTGGTTGAGGCTCACAAAACTGCATGCACTGTTGGCCCACAGACAGAGGAGAAAGAATGATCGTTGTTTAATGCCATTCCTTTTGATTGTCATTTTAAGGTGGAGCAGGTATATAGCAATAACTAACACATAAATCCCAACAGATATTCTAGGAGGCAGATGACTCATGAAAGCAGTGGTTGGTTCATATGAACAAGGGCAGTTAGGAATTATGTTAATTTAACCTAAAAAATGAATTTGCTTGCAGCTCTTTTCTGCTAGTATTTTAATCATCCCACCTAAGCCCTACCTTTTCTAATGGGCTCTCTCTCATTACTGTAGTCCACAGAGGCCTCTCACGTTCATTAGCTGGACCTCCCACCTGACATTTACCGTCATGTTGCACTGTTTTCTTTATAAGTGTATGTAATATGCCTTGTTACTTTGACGCAGTCTCCTTAAATGCCCAAATCACTTCTCCAGCACGTGGTGTTGAACATCTTGTATACTGTGAGTGCTCAAGCATTGATCATGAGATTTTTTTACTTTTAAAAATACAATTTACTTTCTTACACTGCTGGTAGGATTGTAAAATGATAACGATTTCCTTGGCAATTGGCAGTTTCTTAAGTTAAATATATACCAACCATATGACCCAGCTGTTCTATTCCCAAGTATTTACCCAAGAGAAATGAAAGTATATATCCATTCAAAGACTCGCTAATGAATATTCAATAGCAGCTTTATAATAGCCAAGAAATGGAAACAACCCAACTGTCCACCAACAGATGAATGGATAAATAATTGTAGTATATCCATATGGTGGAATCCTGCTAAATGATAAAAGGGAATGAACACTATTGATATATGCTATAACATGACTGAATCTCAAAATAGTTATAAGTAAAAAAAGAACCCAGACCAAAAAAGAGTATATATTAAATGACTGCATTTATCTAAAATTCCAGGAAATGGAAAGTAATATATATAGTAATATATAGAAAGTAGATGGTTGACTGGGAGTGGAGGGGGCAAGGAGGGCAGAGGGTTTGTAAGGTAAAAAAGAAGCTTTGGGGTTAATGGCTTTGCTCACCGTTTTGCTTGTATTGATGCTTTCATCATGTAACATCATAGGACATAACATCAAAACTTACCAAAGTGTGTATTTTATACATGTGTAGTATATGTATGTCAATTATACCTCTGTGAAGATGTTAAAATCTACTTTGTCAGTTACAGAAGTATAGGCAAGACTTCTTATTAAAACAATATTTTTGTTAAATCATGTCTTAGTAAATCAAGTAGTTTTCTCATGTACAAACTGTTCTCTAATTACTCTTCTATGTTTTGGTTTCATTACCACAGATGCCAGCCAAAAACATAACAGTGTAACATGATCATTTTTTCTTTAGCTCAACCCCCATCATGAAATTTTCCCTTTATCCTCCCAATGTGAATAGTGGTATTCTCTAGCATTTTAAAAGGTTAGTATTATATAAATGTTTTTCAATTAATATTAGTTTATTCAAGGCCATCCATGACCTACATTATTAGGGCACCGAAACATTTGTTGGAGGGAAGGGAGAGCTCTTTAAAAAAGATAATTATCACTCAAAGTGATTTTGGTAGGGAGGATATTCATTCAAGAGTTGACTCAGTAATTGCCTCACTTGATGAAATGGTGAATGGATGTAGTTGGTGGAATAATGGTCCCCCAAAAATGTCGGACATCCTAATCCTCAGAATCTGAGACTATGTTACTTTACAGACAATAGGGACTTTGCAGACGTGATTAAATTAAGGATTTTGAGATGGAGAGAATCCTGGATTGTCCAAGTGGGTCCAAAAGAATGACAAGAAAGCTTATAAGAAGGAGGCAGGAGTATCTGGTCAGAGAGGAGTTGGGACTAAGGAAGAAGGGTCAGAGAGATGCAGTGTTGCTGGCTTTGAAGATGGAGAAAGGTGAATGAGGCAAACCACAAGGTCTCCAGAAGATGAGAAAAGCAGACAGCAGATTCACCCCAAAGCTTCCAGAAGGAATGTGATTCTGCCACTTTGATTTTAGCCCAGCTGAACTTGTGTTGGACTTCTGACCTCCAGAACTCTAAGATAATAAATTGTGTTGCTGTAAGCAACAACATTTGTGGTAATTTGTTAGAGCAGCAACAGAAAATCAAAGCAGTGAATAAGCATGCCAAATTAGGGGAAGGAGGACATGGAGATCCCCCAAACTTCACCAAAAATTTAAAGATTCCATGTTATAGACAGGCACCTTAGTCTGATGTTTCCTCCATCTGCCAACCCATTATCTCGGTTATTTTGTTTGAATTTGTTGTGTTTATTATTTGAGTGGCATCTCGCCTATCCTGCTTGCCAAGATGCAATTCCAATACCAGCTCTTCCAGATTTCCTCAATTGGAATTAATCCCCTTCTGAACTGCTAATACTGACAGAGTATTTTTTTATTTCTGCTGTTTGATAGTTCCTCAGCTTTCCAACATAAAAAAACTTTCTGAAGCTACCATGTGAGGTTCAAAATATGGTGTACAAGTGTGATTGACATTACAAAGATGTCAACAATGTCATGCCTAAGGGTCATCAGATGGGGACATGACTCCGCAGCAAGGAACTAGAGCACAGGCTCTTTGGAGAGCAGGGAGCACACCTGAAGTCACATACTCCTCAGGCTAGGGTGGACTTCTGGCTCGGTAAGCGTGTGCTTGGCTAGCAGCTGGAACTAAAAGTTATTTAATAGTAACTGACCAGGGCAAGTTTTTGTGTAATTTGGCATTTACACATTTCATAACCCCAAAAACCTAAGTGGAAATGTTAGGAAGGAAAGGACTCGGCTCGGTGTCGCAGGGAAGTCAGATACAGTAAGATGAGAGACCAAGTCAAGAAAGCAAAGTAAGTTTTACTGCCCTCTGCATAGAGTAGCAGAGAGGGCCTGCCTAAGGTGAGAGAGGCCCAGATGCTCATTCTGAGGCTTTATGTGGTTTTGGCAGGGCAGAGAGGGCCGTGATTGACAGCTGTCAGCTCTCTAGGCTGGTTCTGATTGGTGAAGTGGAGACGGGCTGTGCTGTGCCTGTGCCTCTGATGTTTCTTATCCGGGAGGACTCTGGACATTTCCTGAGTCACTCGTGGACCCTGTGGCTTCATCTGATTAACTCTCTGAGTCATTTTTTGGCTTTCTGGTTCTATTTGATCAACTCCCTGAGTCATCTTTGGGGGGTCCTCTCTCCTTTTCATTCCCGCTCATTTCTGTCTTTCTGCATAACAGAAAGTGTTCTCCATAGAAACATTTGGTAGTTTCTTAAAATGTTTGTTCCTGATTTCTGTATAGCAATACTTTGATCAAAATGTGAATAATTAAATCCTTTTGGATAGAGCCTAAGAAAAAATAGTTTTGCCCAAATATTTTTTTCATGCAGTAAAAGGACTTCAAGGTTAATGACAAGATTTCTGATCATTGGACTATTAAAATGTTCTATGATTCTCCAATTTTCTATGTGCTCAAAACATAATAGTGTTATGTTAAACAGCTCAAAAACCTGTAAAAGGTATTAACATTAAAATATTGCTGGTTTCCTTTAATACCACCATTTCATTTCATCAGAAGGTGAATTCCTTCATGTATCATGGATTTGCTCCCTAAGACATGCACAAGTGGACATCATGGTGCAGACCTGGGCTATTTGTTTCTACAAAGAAAATGGAAAACCTTTGACTGAGGAATGTGGATTATGTGGAAACTGAGACTATGCAAACATTTCAAGTAAAGGGGAAAACAAGTGTTCAGCTAGAAATAAGTTATTTTATTTTAAATCAGAAACAGATTAATAAATATTATTGAAAAACAATAGCCTTTTTTATTTACATAAGGCAATTACAACATGCTATGACTACCTCTGTAAATTAAAATATAAGCAAGTCTTAACCATTGACAAATGTATATATGTATGCTAATTGGAAGCTCTCCTGAAACTTTTACATGGAAAACTTTTATGCAACCAGCCAATCAACATTTAACGTTTTTTATCTAGTCTTTTTCCTGTCCTTCACCACTATATGCTGTTTTACAAGAAAGTAATGGTTATCACTTAAAAAGGCAAAAACACTCAGGAATGCTACTGAAAAACAGTACTCTTAAAATTTTCCTAAGTGCAAAAGCACTGACATGGGAGTATGGGACAAATTATAATATTCTGACAAAGGAAATGTTCTGAACTTTTCAAGGTGACCCTTTGGCACTAGTGGTTTGGGAGCTCTTGACATTCACCTGGTGTCAGGTAGCTCATAGTTAGGGTTGAGCTGCTTGGAAGCAGGAAGCTCAGCATCACTGATTACAAATTTGACACAACCATCAGTCTGGTTCACAGGTCATTGAATCTTCTGCAGAACATAAACCTATGCAGAAAAAGAAGCTCATCACACCATAGGAATATGATCTTTCAGTGCAGCTTTTTGAAGTCCCTGTTTAATTTCTGTATTTTATAATAGAATATATAAAACCCTTTTAAAACAAAAAAAAAGGAAAATTAAAGCTTCATGGAATCATGCAAATTTTACACCCAGCTCTTCCTTTGCTTGCGCTCTTGAAGCTGCATGTCAGCACAGCTCTGGGCATCCTGAGACCTCACTGTCACTCCAGAGCAGCCCTGCACAGGACACTCCTATCTGGAGCTACCAGCACATGCTTGGGAGTGTGAGTGCTCCACAACGGGTATCTGGACAACCATTCAATCCCTTTAGAGGTAGAGAAACTGAGGCACAGAAAGGTTAAGTGACTCACAATTCAAGGAAAAAGAAAAGAACAAATCCTTCTCCCTGGCTCATGCTCTAGGCTCTAGACTACGCTTTTTACCACATTGGGTACATTGGAAATAGATGTTTATTTACATGATCATAGTTCTACCAAGTATCAACTTTTTATGAGACAATATTTTTGTGATGCAACATGCAGTTACATTTTCTTAAAATATATTTCTTTTGTTGCATTTGTATGTGAGAAATGTGTATGAAAGTAAACAAGTAGTGATATTGGGCCAAATTCTCATTCTAATTCCTAAAATTCTCAATCTTTTCAAGTATACAATGGAGGTGTACGAATCTGGCCAGATGTGAAAAACTGCCTATAAGCTAAAGGACAGACTCTTAAAATTCATCATTAGTACAAGTGTGAGATGGATGTGAGGAATACAGGAAATTGAGGTATTTTCTGTGATAAACTTTTATGGTGTGACTGGTGGGAAAACTGACACCTTTTCTTTCCATCTCAAGTTCACAGACCTCCAGCTATGAGTATGAGTAAAACGTATGAGAAACTAACGAGGGCATGCCCTGGGGAGGAAGGAAGATCAATGTTAAGGAGTTAATGTTATACATTGTTGGTCCCTGAGAAGGCAGAACACCAAGATTCCATCTAATCCTGCTTGATGGGTGAACTACTTCCTTGGTGTTAAGCACAGTGAGAAGAACAATTCTTTCAGAGCCAATGAGACAGCCATGAGAAGACCTAAACCTATGCATCCTCTCGAAAATTTCCAGTTTCCTACTCAGTCACAGGAAACCTAAGTCAGGTCAAGTAGGCATTAGAAAAGAGTGGTGGGCGTGGGCATGGCTCTGTAGGCCATCGAGTACCTTCTCTGCACTGCTAGATAAGCTGGGCAGCTTGGGAAAGAGGAGTATCATCTCCCAACAGAAACGAGGTGGCACAGCAGTGGTCTCCGCTCACCATCATCTCAGTCTCTGTGTACTCAAGTGCCCATCCATCCCTAGGAGACACCACAGCTCAAGCACTTTGCAGACATCTTGGAACTGGCCTCTAGAAGTGCAGGTGGTGTTTACAAAGAGCTGAGCTGTGCAGGAAGGAAGAAGATGAGCAGTGAATGAACATTCTAGTAGTGCTGTCTTCTACCAGACATAAAGCCCAAAGAAAAAGAACAGAGTGCAACTAGTACAGCTGGAATGAACTTCTGGAACTAAAACTGAGCATGACAAATTGACTTGAAAAGTAGGAACTGAAAGAATATTTCTTATTGCTGAACCAAGAGTAGCAAAATATATTTCACTAACATTCTAACGTGACAAGTGCATAATGAATCTGAGTGATGATTCCTCCGCAAAGTCCCAGCTGTGGGCAGTCCTCGCCTCACGGTTGCAGGACCCCCTGCCCTGACTCTCCAGAGCCTTCTCTGCAGAGATGAAGTGGTCCTGCAGAGCAGCAAAACACCCACGGTTGTCTCAGTGCTGGGCTTGGGTCACATCCCTAATAGGCTCTATACTTGATCAATAAGCAGAACATGAAGCAACCTTTTTAAATGCAAAGATTCAGATAAGAAAACAAGGCATTGTCCAAGTAGGAGAGGAGATAAATGACCTGTTTATGTATCTATCCAGAGCAAAGTTGCAAATTGTGATCAGAAATATATGTTTTTAGAGAAGGCTTGAGAACAAGTAGACAGTAGGTATATTTTCTTAGTTTTATCAGAAAAAATCCAAATACTATACTAATCAAAATGTTCCATATGTATTCATTTTTGCAGAGACCAATGAGACTCATCACCATGCTAGACCCTTCCCAAAATTCTCATTTGGGGATTTTTTTTCCTCTGCAATTCCAAATGAATTATGAAAACATGAATTTGTAAAATAAATACTGTTAAGTCAGAAACTATATGCTCCATGTCACACTTGAAAATTAGGCTGTTAGACTGCTGTTCATGCCAATTACTTTGAGGCTTGAGTCACACACTTGAAATACAATGCGTACACAATGTGAACTTTGTTCCACTGGCAGGAAAGCTGTCATCCTACTAAAGTAATATGCTGAGATGTAAACCTGGGAGTCTCTAACTGTGCTGGGACCAGTCACCTTCAAGAGGAGACAGGCCAGTAATACTTTGGAGGTTTTGTTTTACCCCCAAAAAATTATAGGGTTGATTATGCAGAAAGTATCACCTCCGAGTATCCATGGTATAATCCTGAATAAAAATAAAATTAGGAATACCAACAGATGCCATTTAAACTAAACTTCACGTGTAAGTTCTAGCAAAAGAAATGTGATAATTTCCATAAGACACATGAACTTTCTCAGATACTTGTATAACCACACGTATTCTTTTAATATCTCAAACTCCTTATCTAGGAAACTATTTTTATGCCTAAAAGTATACTGATTCGGCTACATTGTATTTTCAGAAAGTTCAGTTCAGTAAATGCAAGCCTACATTCCTAAAAATACTGATAAAAAAAAACTTCAAAGAGTTGATAAAAAAAGAGTGAAGGACTTTTTGAGCATTTATTAACTGTCAGTTAACCTAACATTTAAAACCTTTTAAAAATAATTTTGTTGCTGCTCTTAGTTCACAAATCACTGACAACCCGTGACCATCACATGTACTTTTGATTCATTGAAGTGTTTTTTGCTCTACATTAAACTGTCTTCATTTTACTTATTCAGCCTCTTTGTTCAACACCTTATGGAACTATTCTTTGGGTCTTTAGAAATGTTGTCTTTGCCTGAAAAAAACACATTTTCTCCCTCACTGAGTAACTTTAATTGGACATTATTAAATTTCCTGTTCTACGTCACCAAATCTACCTTACCCAGTCCCTTCTTGTAACTTGGCACAGTTCCTTATTTAGATAAAACACTGAACATGAAGTACATGATATCGTGATGAAATATTTACATCACTTTGTGCTTTGTTCCATTTAATGCACATGGAAGGTTACTGTAGACAGACAAATGATCTCTTTGATCCAAATACTGGCATAAATAGTGGCTATTTTGCATTTCAGAAGTTTAAAGAGAGGTTGGGTGCTCTATCATCTCAAGCAGCAGGGAGATGGCTAAATTGATTGTTGTCATTTTTGCTAGAGATTCTTTTGAAAACTTACCATGTGTGTTCCAATTTGTAGAAACCAACCTAATCTCGCATCCTTCAACTTGTTCCCATATTAAAGGGAACTCAATATATGTGCTATTGAACAATTACTTTCTCATTAACAGCTTTATTAGCACATTAAATAATTTATTTCCTCTGGGTGGCCACAATGCTCGCTGAAAGAGAACATGGATATATTTGTTACTGGATCCCAGTTACATAGATTGAATGCAAATAAAATACCTCATGTTACTTAGGTCAATTGTCTTTAATTGGACAATAAGTATGTGCTAACAGGGCCAGTTTGCTCTAATGTGTCTTTAGTCTTCACCCTCTTCCAACAAATGCATATATTATTTCTAACTGCTTTACACATTTACATTTTGAATAAGTGAAGTATTAAAGTATCAAGGAGATTGCATTATTCTAATCTAAGAGAACATATGCACAGCAAAAGTTAAATTAAGCAAATAGTTCAAGTGATAAAGGCACTGAAACTGATCTGAGCTACTGAAAGTCATCCTGTAGATGGAACACCATCATGTCCATTCACTGTTTTCTCTCCATTTGCAGCTAAAATGTCTTGGAGTGGAAGGTGGGAGAGTCAGCCCATTAGAGGGTTAAAGACAAGTGAATGTATATACCACTTCTTTGGATGGGCACCTGAATGTTACACATGCTTAATGCAAAATAACAATAGACACACTTACTGTATTAATCAGATATCAAGACAATAGTTTCTCCCATTTAATGTACTCATCTAAGTAAGAATATCTGCTCCCCCGCAAAGACTAACCAGAAAAAGCCCATCTTTATTTCCTATTTAAATAATGTTAAAATGTTTTAAAAGGAAAGAGTGTTCATGAAAGCTTCCAGGTTAATGACAATGAGCATGAGAATTCTCTCATGAGAGAGAGAGATGCCCAGGCAACCACTTAGCAACTTCAGACTGCAGAGGGCTTGGCCCACACCTGCTGCTGAGCAGCGCTCCCTCCCCACTATCCACCAGACCACCGTTAATGTACAAGCAATTCTACTACCAGGGATTTAGAGTCTCTTCCACCTCACATCAAACTAGGGCCAGAAACCACAGCCACTTCCTGCTCCTTGAGCCACCCAATCCCTTGTTACATTCTAATCTGTTTTCATATTAGATTTGTTCATCTCTCCAAGGTTGAAATTGAACTCTTTGAACACCTGTATAAGGACAATCCCAACGGAGACGGTCGTGAACCCACAGGCCATTCCCAAGAAGTCCACCAGGCCCACGTTGCTCCACTCCCGGAAGAGGATGGCGGAGGCCAGCAGGACCAGTGTAGTGAACACGACGTAGTAGATGGCCCCAAAAACAGAGGAGTCGAAACACTCCAGCGCCTTGTTGATGTACCTGAACTGGACGATGATGCTGCAGCCAAGCACAGCCAGGAGCACCAGGCACAGGCAGAGGGCCCGCTGGCTGGACGGGTTGTTGTGGAAGATGTCTTGGGCGGCCAGCCCAATGCCCTTGGTGGAAGGCACGGTGAAACTCCCCAGCAAGGAGCAGATGCTGATGTAGACCATGATGTTGGTGGGCCCATGGGCTGGTGCGATCCAGAAGATGAGCAACAGCAGCATGAGGAGCACGATGCACAGATAGCCCACAAACACTGGAGAACAGATGGAGTTCCTTACTTTAGAGCCAATTCAGCAAACCCTCGGCAGACAGTGCTCCTGTTGGGGGGATCCTTAAGGGCAATGTGGGAAATTGGGGGGAGGGTATCTGTGGGGCCCAGGATACAAAGACAGTTCCAAACATCAAAAACCATCCCACTATCCTCAAAACTTCTGAAGGTCTCCTTGGACTTGTAAGTGAAAATATGCTTTGAATAACCAGAGCCTAGAACCTGTTTTATGTATAAAATAAAGTAATTTTTGCATGGATTTAATATGCACTGAATTTTTCATAATTTCACCAAAGGTTACCCTCCATTGCAGAAGATCCCATTGCTGATGGCAAGATTCCGCTGGTGTCTGAGTCAACAGCATGACACCCCCACTTTGGTTTGTTTTTGCAGCTGCCAGTCTCAGCAACTCCCACACATCTTCTATAATTGTACGTAAGCATTGTTTTATTATAAAGTACTGTCCTGCTATTTCTCCTTCATATTATAGTTAGGGCATTTTATTATAAATATGCTTTCAATTTAAATCTAGACAGAGAAATAAAGAGAAGCAAAAGTGGTAAATATGTGCAGAAATTTAAAAAATAATAATTTTTTTCTCATTTAAAAAAATCTTTAAAAAAGATAACTGTCACTAAGCCAAAATAATTGCAGTGTATTGTGAAGCTTTTATAACATGCAAAGAAGTAAACTATACAGCAAAAATATAAAGTGAGAGAAATGGAAGTATACTGTAGCCTAGTTCTTAAAAGATATTTTGAAGTTGTATAATATCATTTAAAGGTATACTGTGGTAAGTTAAAGATGTATATTGAAAACCCTAGAGCAGGGAGTTGGCAAACTGCAGCCCATTAGCCAAATATGGCCTGCCATCTATTTCCCAAAGTAAGTTTCATTGGAACACACACAAATGCAAATTTGCTTCAAAATTATGCACACAAGGTTGTGATTTATATGAACTTCACTCCCAGATCATAAAGGAGGCACTAGGAGCAAGGCCTGACAGTGCTGAGAACAGCACAGATACACACACCAAGCAGGCAGTGGGAGTCCCTTATTACCCAAAGGTGGAAAAAGGAACCGTAGAGCCCTGCTCATGGGGGAAGATTCAGGAAGATGAACTCCCAAAAAGTTCTGAATTAAAATTTCTTCCTGTTAGGCAGGAAAATATATATGAGCAGGTTGGAGAGAGAATTAAGGCCAGTTAAGCCCACTACAGGGAACTCAAGAGTTAACCAGTTAAAACTAGAAACCCAGAAAAGACCCAGAGTTAATGAATTAATCAGTTAAAGCCAGGAGCAACTTGGCCTGGAATGTTTGAATATTCCCCAGATAAAGAAAAGTATGTGAGCACAGCCCATGTCTTCATTATGTCAATTACATCACGCCTTTGTAAGATTTACTTTAGCTTGCTAAAAGGCCCAGCTATGAACAGCATAATAAAAACAAGAAAGATTCCACCTTAAAGCTAAAATTGCATTTTAAAACGCAAGAAGTTAGGAAGTAACTTCACATACTCTTTACCAGACAATAACTCAGCCCACCTTGGAGACAGGGCAGGCAGTCTTGATTGATAGCTCCCAGACCAGGAAGCTGCTATCCTGGGAGGGAATCAGAGCAGTAAATTTCTTGTGTTAAGCTAATTTTGCAGAATTACCTGGAGGACTGATAAGAAACTTAATGTCTCATCAAACATAAACATCTTGAGACCACTTAACAAGTCCACACTCCTAGCCCTTTATCACATTCCTGAAAAATCTTTAAAAAGGGGGAACCCCAACCTTTCAGTGCACACTTCTCTCTGCAGCCGCCCGAACTTTTTAGGTGTGTAGACTTTCTCTCTAACTTTGCAGGGCGCCTCTCCTCCCTGAGGTCACCTGTACTTTTTCTCTCTTTAAGTAACTTTAAATAAAACTTTTACTTTATTTCACTACTGTGTCTCTGCCTTCAATTCTTTGTTGTGGCAGGGACAAAAACCGAAGAAAATAAACAACATCCCCCCTAACATTCTGAGGCAGTTAATTTGACAAAAATTCATTCTGGTGTTTTTTCTTTAGGAAAAAAAATGAGAAAAAATTAGAAACACCTTTATTTTAATAAATTAAGAGTCCAGGAAACCATTTTATATTCCAGATTTTTTTTTTAAAGTATTCATGTTAAAAAGAGAGACCTTTTTGCTACCATTTTATCTTTGTACCAAATTTTTATGCTGGTATTCAAATCAGAAGTGGTTAGGTACAAATTATGACCTGAATATAGTGGTATCATCCACATTTATCAAAAAGTAAGAAGCCTTAGATACACTGTTCTGAAAATTACATAAAGTAAATCCTTCAGGACACTCATATCTAGTTTTCTGATTTTTTTTCATGTCTTTGTACTTTCGTCTCACAGTGTTGGTCTGCAGGAAATAGAAATTTCCAACCAGGATTCCTGCTTGGCCTTAATAGTGCCTCTTGGCTCACTGTATACATATACGAGCCTATTTGCACATCTGTGGGATGTTTGGGAGGGAGCAGCTGGTCAGTCACGGAAGTACCAGCCCAGGGGAGGGATGGAGAAACACCCATTCCCTCTTCTCCCTGTGTCCTGGTACATAACTGGGTGGGCGATCACCAGTCACAGAGACCCACCCGCAGAGTTCCTCCCGGCACTAGGGGCAGGGGAGTAGAGGGCCTCAGGGACAGAAGGCAAGCCAGGTGGGAGGACTGGGAGAGGACAGGTGGCAGAGGGGAGCCGGAGCGGACAAGAGCCCAAGACCATGAGAATAAAACCCCCGTTTAAGCCCCCAACTTCTTGCCCTTCCCTTTATTCAGTCTCACCAAATTCATAGAGAACTTGCCCTGGGTAGGGAACACCCTCCTCCCAGAGCAACAGTTGGAAATATTTTGGCTTTCACATGAGGAAACTAATATTACAATGTTGTGCTTAGAGACAAAACAATTATAGAAGGATATGGGAGGCTGGGTGTGGATGTGAGGTCAGAAGGTGGCTGGCCAGCCAGGCCTTCTCCAGGCTTGAGGTGGCCCTGCGAGGTCCTGCTCTCTCCCACCACCTGTGGGGCACAGGCACTACTGTGCAAAGATGAACAGAGGCCCTGGGAGGACAGACTGGGGGTGGACCAGTGACCTGGGAAGGATCACACTGGAAAGGGGCGAGCTCTCTTACAGCGCTGTTGGAAAGGACTCACCTGGGTTGGTCAGCTTCTCCTCCAGCTCAGCCTGAGTGGTCACACTCTCTGATTTCGGGGAGTGGATAATCAGCACAACAGAACCTGCACAGCTTAGCAGACATCCCAACTTACCCAAGATGTTGAGCTTTTCCTTCAGAAGATAAGAGGCTAAAATGGACCTTCAATTTAAAAAAAAAGAAAAATGTTAAAATTTATATTATGTGATCTGTTTCTACTAATTGCAGTTATTTCAGAAAAGCCACATTATAGGCAAATTTTATTTTTAATTTAGTTTGTAAGAGTAGAAAATAGTAGGAATTTATTGGAGTTGTTATTTCAATACAAAGTGTTTCATATCAATTCATGCAGAAACAGTACATAGCTAATGACTCAACTCACACTGCAATATATTATTTCAGTAGATAGAAAATATACGAGAGTAGAAAAAGTTTTATGATTGATCAAAAATAAAAACATTGCTTAATTTTAAAAGGGAACATTAAAAAAACATGTTAAATGTAAAGTAGGATATGACAACTGTTATAATAATTAACAGTAATTCATAATCATGAACTAAAGTTAAAATAAATTGAGAAAATGCACAAACAAGAAAACATCAAAATGCTAATGCTAATGATGAGGAAATACTCAGGAAGTTCTCAAATCCCTCTCCCTCTTGGCAGGTGTGGTGGGGAGCCAAGAAAGCCAAGAAAGGAAACAGGGTTTCTGTTAAAGCTTCAGGAATGTGGAGGAATCACAGGGGCTTGGGTGCTTGGGATTGAAACAATGTAACAATGTATCCCACCCCCAACCAGGACTCAGTGGTATACAGTTGCTTGTTAATCACAGTCATGGAAGTCCATTAGTTTACAATACAGTATCTGGGTAACCTTTACAGAAATGGATTAAAATATAACTAGCATCCTGAATACATGTACAGTGACCTAATAGCTCCCACTGCAGCGGTGCCTGAGTGTGGACTCCCCCCTTACTTTTCTACTAGATACATAAAAGGAATGGTCCTGCTGTACTCAGGGCTCACACCTTTGGAGATCACTCTCCTCTGAGCCCGCAGGTGTTCAACAAACCTCAGCCCTCCAAGACCTCCAAGTGCTGCTTGGTTCTTCTGTCAGCAATCCAGTCCAGGTTTTCTGGTTTTCAATAACAGTAATGCATTATGAGGGGAGTGTGGGTGATGGATTTTTTTCTCTAACACCCAAAACTTTAAAAAATGTTGCCACATTATTTTTTTTTGGTGTCATTTATCTACAATTACATGAGGAACATTATGTTTATTAGGCTCACGCCTTCACCAAGTCCCCGCAACAACTCCCATTACACTCACTGTCAATCAGCATAGCAAGATTCTGTAGAATCACTACTTCTCTTCTCAGTGTTGCACAGCCCTCCCCATGACACCCCCACATTATACATGCTAATCATAATGCACCCTTTATTTTCCACACCTTTATCCCTCCCTTCCCACCCATCCTCCCCAGTCCCTTTTCCTTTGGTAACTGTTGGTCCATTCTTGGGTTCTGTGATTCTGCTACTGCTTTGTTCCTTCAGTTTTTTCGTTGTTCTTATACACCACATATGAGTGAAATCATTTGCTACTTGTCTTAATCTGCTGGCTTATTTCACTGAGCATAATACTCACTAGCTCCATCCATGCTGTTGGAAATGGTAGGATTCGTTTTCTTCTTACAGCTGAATAATATTCCATTGTGTATATATACCACATCTTCTTGATCCATTCATATACTGATGGACACTTAGGTTGCTTCTATTTCTTGGCTATTGTAAATACTGCTGCAATAGACATAGGGGTGCATCTGTCTTTTTCAAATTGGGCTGCTGCATTCTTAGGGTGAATTCCTAGAAGTGGAATTCCTGGGTAAAATGGTATTTCTATTTTGAGCTTTTTGAGGGACCTCCATACTGCTTTCCACAATGGCTGAACTAATTTACATTACCACCAGCAGTGTAGGAGGGTCCCCCTTTCTCCACAACCTCGCCAATATTTGTTTGTTTGGCTTTTGGATGGTGGAGATCCTTCTGGTCTGAGGTGATATCTCATTGTGGTTTTAATTTGATTTCTCTGGTGACTAGCGATGTGGAGCATCGTTTCATGTGTCTGTCAGCCATCTTAATTTCTTCTTTGGAGAACTGTGTGTTCAGCTCCTCTGCCCATTTTTTAATTGAATTATTTGCTTTTTATTTGTTGAGGTGCATGAGCTCTTTATATATTTTGGATGTCAACCCTTTATCGGATCTATCATTTATGAATATATTCTCCCATACTGTAGGATGCCTTTTTGTTCTATTGATGGTGTCCTTTGCTGTACAGAAGCTTTTCATCTTGATGTAGTCCCACTTGTTCATTTTGCTTTTGTTTCCCTTGCCCAGGGAGATATGTTCCCAAAGAAGTTGTTCATGTTTATGTCCAAGAGATTTTTGCCTATGTTTTTTTCTAAGAGTTTTATGGTTTCATGACTTACATTCAGGTCTCTGATCCATTTCAATTTACTT